GGACTCTGATTCTGGATCCGAAGCCTATACTCGGCAAATGATCTAAACGATCCAGGCTGAGTGACTTGTTGAGATACTTTTGGCGACGGATCAGCAACAACGAGGTGAGATATACAACCAAGCCCAAAAGCAGCCACTTCACGGAGTATCAATTCTATTCTGAAATCTTGACATCGCCATCTTCATCTTTCATCTCCCCGCCATTCGGCTCAGTATCCTCCTGCTCCTCGTCTATAGTCTCAACAACCCCTTCTGAACCATTCCTCCTGTTGATGTCCCTCTTCCTTTTTTCCTTCTCACTCTCATTCTTGTTCTTACCTTCTTCATTTTCCCCATTGGTAGTGCCATCCTTGATATTCAAATCGCCATCTCCATTATCCTGCCACCTCTTCACCATATCATTCATCAATACATTCATAATATCCGGATTAACAATATCACGTCGAAATTGTTCCAGTTGCAATAATGATAAAATGTGCAAGCAGTTGGGGTAAACTAGATATCGCAGATATTGTGGCTCAGCCCAATACTGCAAGTACTTTAAATAATTGACAAAACATGGGTCTTGGAGGTAATTGTTCTGAGCTAGGTAGCTTAAATAAGGGATATTGCTTAATGATTGAACAAACTCTAGTTCAATTTCCCATCGCGTTGGGAGTGAGTTGATTAAATCTGTGTATTCTTGTTGTTCTTGTTCTTTCGAAAGCAGTCGACTTTCGGTAGCAGATTGTGCTTGTTGTTTGTTAGACGTGGCTATATCGGACATTATTATGGTTTGGTGTTCTTTTGCGATTGATTCTGAGTTGGGTAATCTAACCAGCTAAACACGATTCCAAGACGCTTTCGGTTTTTCATAATATGACTTTGTGTGCGCGCACGACTTTACCATTAACCATGACTTGGAAACAAAACTGAAGTTGACAAAGCATTGCATTTTGACCCATTATCCTCTAGTTCTTTTAAATCTCCTGCCTATTGCTATTGGGAAACAACAGTACAATAGGATTTGGTATATGCAAAACTACTTCCTTTTTAATGTAACTTTTGCTATTTTTTGCTTCAAATTACTACAAATTACTCCTGATAAACGATTTCGCTGTTAGAAATTTTACTAACCAGAGAAGAAAGTCACAACATGCTTAATATATAAAACACGTAGCAAGTAATTATTACATCTTTCACTGAAATCGGTATATACGCCCTACTGTAATTTGTCTTTACAGTCTTCATCCAATTTGACACCAATTGGTAGCGACAAGCCTCACTCACAGATCAAAACATAAGATCAAAACAAACGACGCGAAAAACCTTAACCAAACAGATACATTCAGCCCTTACAGCTTTACAAATGTCGAGCAATATACCAATATCAAGCTCCTCAACGAGCCAAGTATATACCAACACAACGAATCAAAACCAATTTCGACCAACCAATGATCCACTTACACCACGAGAGGTAGCTCTAAGCAAAGAACTCAAACAACTACGATTAATTCACACGAGACTCACATCTTTTGCTTCGGCAATAGACTCCGTCAAGTCAAACATGTCGGAATTCAACAATGGAACCACTAATGCCTTGATTATGATGAATAAATGGAGCGATATAATCTCACAAGCGAGCTTCACTCATGAGATGCTTAATAATACAGAGTGGCATCCACAAGAGGATGCGGATGACGAAGAGGACGAAGGTGATGGCTTTGAGAGCCAAGACACGATAAGCTTTCAAGCAATGGACAAGAATGATGATGCTGAGCTTGAATTGTTGCTGCGCAAATTAATGAATTATGAACTGGAAAATATGGTTTTGAACAAGCGATTAGAAAAGGAAGTGATGGCGAAACAGGAAAAGAGGCATAGTGTTGAAGAACAAGTGAATAAAAGGAGACGTGAGTTGGGGCTATATGATGGGTCGAGCCTGAGTAGTAGAAAAAGACCCATGCGATAAGTGTGTGTCTGTGTGTGTGCATCCGGGCCCACCTACTACAATTCACATTTCGTTAAACAAAGTATTATCTATATTACATATCACTAATCATAATAAATATACACCCCCTTCTTTCTCAGGCCTTTAAAATGCTAGTGATCAAATCATTAGCATCAACAGAATCGCCTTCTCTCACCAATAAATCATCGACAAGTCCACTCACAGGTGCACTAATCACCATCTCCATCTTCATGGCCGACAACACGGCAATTGGATCACCTTTCTTAACTTCTTGGTGCTTGTGGGTTCTGACCTCAATAACAACACCAGCCATTGGTGCACCCACATCATTAGGCGCGGAAGCTTTTGGTCTTGTTTTGGTTTCAACCGAAACGGTGTTATCTTCCACCGATACGGATCTCATTTCACCATTCAATTCGAAAAATACTTCACGGGTACCAGTCTTTTCTGAAATTTCACCCACTGCCAACAACTTGATGATCAAGGTCTTACCCTTTTCAATATCAACAACAATTTCTTCACCAATGTTTGCCGGTTTGAGGAAAAATCTTGTTGGCAACACACTCAAATCACCGTACTTTTCAACCTGTTTTCTAAAAGCTTCAAATACTTTGGGGTACATAACGTACGAAGCAACATCAGTTTCATTAACTTGGGATCCATATCTTGAGGTCAACTCTTTTCTAATACCAGCAAAATCAACTGGTTGCAAGTACAATCCTGGACGCTTGTCCAATTTTTGGCGCTTATTGCCCAAAATGTTGGTACGCAAAGGTTCAGGGAATCCACCATATGGCTTACCTATCAACCCTTCCATAAAGTCGAGTACCGAATCAGGGAAATCCAATTCGGAAGCAAGACGGTTGACATCTTCTTCGGTTAAGGAGTTACTCACCATAAATTGAGCCAAGTCCCCAACAACTTTCGATGTTGGAGTCACCTTGACCAAGTCCCCAAGGATCTTGTTGGCAACTTTATAAGTTTCCTTTGTTTGCAACCATTTCTCACCCAAACCCAATTGTTGTGCTTGGAATAACAAATTGGTCAATTGTCCACCAGGGATTTCGTGTGAGTAAACTTCTGGATCAGGTCCCTTCAAATCGGCCTCGAAGCAAGAGTATAATAATCTCATTTGGGCCCAATAGTTGTCCAACTCTCTAACTAATGATTCGGATAATCCAGTGTTGATAGAACCCTCAAACGAGGCCAAGATGGCACTGATTGATGGTTGTGAAGTTAAACCAGACATCGAGTTTGAAGCAGCGTCAACAACATCAGCACCAGCCTTTGCACACTCAGTCATTGAAGCCACACCAGTACCAGCTGAATCATGTGTGTGAACATGGATTGCCAACTCTGGGTAACGTTTTCTAATCTCACCCACTAACAACCTGGCTGCTGCTGGCTTCAAAGTACCAGCCATATCTTTGATACCCAAGAAATGAGTGCCCATTTTGACAATCTCATCAACAACCGACAAGTAGTATTCCAAGTTGTACTTCTTTCCTGGCTTCAACATGTCACCAGAATAACAAACAGTGGCTTCAACAACACCGCCAGCTTTCTTGACAGCATCAATACCAACTTTCAACTGTTCTAAATCATTCAATGCATCAAAGACACGGAAGATATCAACTCCGTTGTCCTTGGCCTCTTTGACAAATTGGTCAATTGCGTTATCGGGCAACGAAGAATATGCAACACCATTAGCACCACGCAATAACATTTGGAATGGGATGTTTGGCACTAAAGCCCTCAATTTCCTCAATCTATCCCATGGATCTTCATAAAGGAACCTCATACAGACGTCAAAAGTGGCACCACCCCAACATTCAAGCGAAAAAGCACCATTCAAAGCAAATGCAGTGGTTGGAGCAATGTTTAACAAGTCAATAGTTCTAACTCTGGTTGCTAGCAAAGATTGGTGCGCATCTCTCCAAGTCGTATCGGTGAGCAAAGTACCATTAAATTCTCTAACCTTTTTAGCAAAAGCATCCGGTCCTTCTTCCAACAACACTTGTCTCCATCCACGTGGAGGTGGTGTATGTGTAACATCAATTGGAATTCCAGTCTTTGGGTCGTGCAACACTGGAATCAATGCTTCATCATTCAATTTAGGGTATCCAATCTGTCCTTTAATCGATGATCCATTGACGTAAAGATCAGCCAAGTATGACAACAACTTGGTGGCTCTGTTTTGCGAACTAACCATTTGGAACAATGACGGGGTATCGTCAATGAATGTTGTCCAACAATCACCCTTGATGAAAGTCTCATTTGTCAAAAGGGCCAAAAGGAACGGGATGTTTGTCTTGACCCCTCTTATTCTAAATTCAATCAATGCACGCAACATTTTCCTACGGGCAATTTCAAATGTGGAACCAGAACATGAACATTTGACCAACATGGAATCATAGTGAGGAGATATGACCGAACCAGCAAACCCATTACCACCATCTAACCTCACACCATTACCACCAGCTGATTTGTACACCTCAATTTTACCAGTGTCTGGCTGGAAGTTTTTGGCTGGATCTTCTGTAGTGATTCTACACTGAATGGCGAAACCTCTAGTGGTGATCTTATCCTGTAATAATCCCAACTGTTGCAATGAAGCGCCAGCAGAAATTTGAATTTGAGCAGCTACAATATCGACTCCAGTGATTTCTTCTGTGATGGTGTGCTCAACCTGGATTCTAGGGTTAATTTCAATAAAGTAGTGCCTGTTTTGCTCATCAACCAAGAATTCAGCGGTACCCGCGTTTCTATAATTGGCACTCTTGGCTAACTTTACCGCATCGGTCAAGATGGCATCCCTGACTTCTTTGGGCAAGTTTTTGGCTGGTGCAATTTCAACAACTTTTTGGTGTCGTCTTTGGACTGAACAGTCTCTTTCAAACAAGTGTATGACATTACCGTAGTTATCAGCCAACAATTGAACTTCAATGTGTTTCGGTTTATCCAAAAACCTCTCAATAAAACAAGTTCCGTTACCAAATGCAGTCTTTGCCTCAGAAGTGGCTCTCTTGAAGGCGTCTTCAATATCGTCACCCTCACGAACGACTCTCATACCTCTTCCACCACCACCAAAAGCGGCTTTTATAATAACAGGGAATCCGTATTTCTCAACAAACTTTCTTGCATCGGCAACATTATCAATTGGGCCAGGTGTACCTGGAACCACAGGAACGCCATTGTCAATAGCTAAAGTTCTAGCACTAACTTTATCACCTACGGCATCAATTGTCTTGTAACTTGGACCCACCCACAAGATTCCGTTTTCTTCAACTTTTTTAGCAAATTCACTGTTTTCAGAAAGGAATCCATATCCTGGATGAATCATATTAACGTTGTGATGCTTGGCGATGTCAATGATTTCATCGATTTGCAAGTAAGCTCCAACAGGTGAATATTGCCCCTTCTTTCCAATGGCATACGATTCATCGGCTTTCAACCTGTGCATTGACAATCTATCTTCATGCGAGTAAATAGCAACAGTCTGCATAGACAATTCGTGAGCAGTTCTGAAAATTCTAATGGGGATTTCACCTCTATTGGCGACCAATATTTTATTCATTGGTCCCAACACCGACGAGGCTCTTCTCATTTGGTTGATGGGTCCCTCCTGAGCACTTGTTGGCTGAAGGGTCGACATTGTTGAATAAGAAAAGGGGGGGTTGTTAATTGATGAAATAGCAATTCTGGAAAAAGTGGATGTGGATGAATTGATGTTGATTTTATATTGAGAAGATACTAGAAATCAAAATCCAAAAATTAAAAAAATTAAAAAATAATTGAAATTACAACTTAGATAAACGTCCTGCATATAATACGATGATGTAACTGATCAAGCAGTTTGTAATTATTCCGCCGGCTTTACGTATTTATTGTTTTTCTAACCACTTTTACAATACCTTTTGAGCCAGATCACTACTACTAGGGGCCTATAAAGGCAACCGGACTTCTTAGTCACTGGGCCACAAAGCTGACGGGAAAAATACTCCGAAGTGATACAAAACCAAAAACACAATAAAGCAGTGGTGGCAAGAAAAATAATTTTTGGTCTTTAAGGACAACAACCCTCCATGGGATAAAAAAAGAAGAACAAAAAGTTGAATACTACGAGTCAGCATTGTACAAAACTGAATTTACCCGTGAGTCATCTCTAAATGCTTGATTGCACAATAGGGTATTTCATACAAAAGCGGCCCGATGTTTCATGTGATTGATTGGTGGATAAAGTAAGAAATATTTCCAGCGGTTGATTTGCAACAATAAACCGAGGCAGAATTTATCAACTTTACAGAGTAGTCTTATTCTCAAACATTGACAAAAACGTCAGACGAATGTAGGTTTTGGAATGTAGGGAGTTCTGAGTGCGGGGATTCACAACATCAACCCTACTTTGAGATGTAGGGTTTAAAAGCTTGTAGGTGAAACTTAGCATATACAGTCCCAGAGTAGAGGAAATCTCCTTTCTTGGTCACGTTGGCCTGGTCTTGAGGTCGCCTCTTAGAAGGGGAGACTGTCTGAAAGTCAATACTTAGCGGCAATAGTGTTATTCACGGCTATTGAACTGTCTTTATACACCGTCTCACTACCGAAGGGATTTCTTATTAAACGGATTATGTACCCCATGTTCAATGCCGCCTTGCCATGGTTAGCAAAAATTAGCTTTTTAGTCGTGGTAAAAAGACACATTTTGCCTCGTTTAACTTTCGGAGGTTAAAGTGCGAAAAATGAAAAGTTTTTTTTTAAAAGATTTTTTTCTTGTTGGTTCGACAATAAGAGGGAAAACGGAGGTGCAAGTCCGAATCATGCAAAAGCGAACCACCACCAAGGAGATTTTATTGAAGCCATGTGAAATATACAATGGGGAATCTGAAACTATTTCAGACAGGAGCATTCGTAATTGAGACTTTTAGCTGAGTTATATTCTTGTTGTAATTGAAAAGAACCGATCGTGTAGGATATTCCAATCAAGGGGTGTAACCCTGGTATGAACTATTTATCGTCGTGCTATAGTCCAGTAGTCAATTTTCACGTGTAAATTATTCTTTCGGGCAAACAGGGCTTTTGAAAAACAAGGGGAACTCTTAAGATACGCTACCAAACACGAATGTAATTGGCTAAGATAACAATACAAACAATAATATGTGACACAAGCAAGTTTGTTTGGTATTGTTTTACTTATTTCTTTATTCCATTTGCCCTTTTAAAACACAAAACAGTGCGCTGAACATAAGAAGGTTTTCAATAATACGTTTGACTTGTTTTTGCAACACTCGATCAACATGCTGTTGTAACAAGTGTTGTATACAATTTGTGGTGGTAACTATTCTTAATTTTTTTTTGTCACTGCCACCGAACTTCCATACAGCCCTAGAAACTCGCACCCCTCTTATCCACATTTTTTACTTGCTCATGGGAGAGATTACTCCACTGTGGTTTATCGAATGTAATACCCCTCATCTGGGATAACAAGAAATAGGGGATATTTTAGTATTGCTTCCTGAGAGGCATAAATCAAAAGAAGAAAAACCAGTGCAGATTAGTCATCCAATTCGAAAACAACGGACGTACTGCAAGTGAATAAAATCTGTGGAGAAAATTTGATCTGTGGTTAGTGATAAAAAAAAGCAGATGATAATCCGCCCTCATATACATGCATGGACTAGTAGATATAAAAATTGTGGTTGCTTTGTTCAGGAGTATATTTAGGATTTGTAATATTTTATGGTATGATTCACTTTAAAATTTTTCACTTTGTGGTTGACCATTTTTGATTTTTGTGTATCGGATTAGAAGTTTTCCATTTATTTTATTTTTTTCACTCTGCTTTTAGGATATAAGAATATCAGAAAATCCTTCCTTTTCCACTAACTCACTATTTTCTTCCCAGTTTTCGGAAATATCAATAAAAATGTATAAATCTACTTCACAACTCAAAAGAAGCATCTTGAAGCAAACATCCAGTGTTACTGGCCAAGCTTCAAAAGTATCTCAACAAGCCANCACTCAGCCTGGATCGTTTAGATCATTTGCCGAGTATAGGCTTCGGATCCAGAATCAGAGTCCATTGGCTGTAAGATCAAAAGACTTTAATTCTAATTTGAGGTTGTTTCATCACTAGTTGAGAGTGCAGAAGCTTTGGCAAATATCTATATAGTATTGTTTAGAACTATTTGAGTATAATGAGTTATTATGGGTAACGACTTATTATAGTAGCATCTCTACTGATGATTACTCTTAGCCTATAACAGTTCCAGGTGGTGTCTGAACCTCTTTCAAGATCCAGACCCTACTGTTATGGCCAATAACAATACATACTCTCTTTGGGTTGGTATGTTTGTTATATAGAGTCACAGCAGAATTGGGACAGATTCACTTATGCTTATGGTCCGAGATCACAGAAACATAACGACTAGCTACTATGTTGATAGTACTTTCTGGTGACACTATATTTTTGTGTTGATATCACTCATATCAGAGTTCTCGCTATCGATTAGAACTCGATTCTGCATACAGCCACGTTTGAAC